AGTGACATCACATTCTGGTTCCCGTCAATGAAGCAGAAGGGAGCTGGTTCCTTGAGTACAAGGAAGCTAAACAAGCAATGCACCTATGGATGGAGCTCAGTCACAGCACAGCAGCCCGCACTGAACCCCTAAAATTTTGGGGGGAGTGTGAATATCTGTGAGTATGTGTGATTGTGTCTGTGGTTGTGTGTGTCTGTCAGTGTTGTCATCACAAACTACCACGCAATGGCACCTACTGTTCATTCTGGTGGGGGAGCTGCATTGCGTTCCCATTCATTTGAATGGCACCCCCAAACACACCTCCCACACACAGTTTGATCCCTTGCCCTGGAAGATGCAGTACCGCAATGCCGTGTATTCCAGGGCGGTTTGGGTCGCGACTTAATGACCAAGGAGAAATGTGGGTCCTGAGGTTTTACAGGTTGAGAACCACTGATCTAGAACCTTGGTTCTCAATTGGTGGGTCGTGACCCTGTGTTCAGTGGGGTGACACATGCCTTCCACTTTTCTAGGTGGAGCCTCCCCCTAGCACAACACTGTCCATTCTTACACTGAGCAGCCATTCAAAATATGCTGCCTGGCTCCGAGTATTGACTTGAGGTGAGGTGGGCTGGGGGTATGCCCGCTAGGGAGCTCCAGCCATACGTGCATTGCTTATAGCTCCCTCGCATGGCCTGGACCGGAGTGACGTCACATTCTGGCTCCCGGCACCTCTATAGAGCGCGCATTGGGAGCTGTACAAGCAATGCACATATGGATGGTGCTCCATCACAGCACAGCAGCACACACTGCCGTGCGTTCCATTGTAGTGTGACTTGGGTCGCGACCTAATGATCGAGGACACATGTGGGTCCTGAGGTTACACAGGTTGAGAACCACTGATCTAGAACAACCAGAAGGCAAGGCCCAGGATATACCATTAGGCACAGTAGGCAGCTGCCTACAGAGGGAAAGAGGAGGCTTTCTCCTCATTATTGATCAGCCATTCACTTGTTTCCATCTCCTATACAGATATTTACACATTGTCACTATATTCTCAGCCAGGTTAGGGCCAAAAAGACAAAGAAACGTCCATTGTGGGAGCTAATCGTAGTAATGATTCCAATGAGGAAAATATGGTCATGGCATCAAGTGAATTCAGGTCTCATCTACATATTCAGACACTGTCTCCCCCTATCACAGCCCTATGAGGATATGCCCTGTAATGATATTTATCTGCTCAGTATACACATTGTCTCAATCTCTTCCTGCCCTGTGTTTTGTTTCTCAGTCCTCATTTAGATAGTGATTAGGCTCTGAGAGTCCCATAGGAAAATGGAGAGTGAAGTCTACGTTTATCTTTCTCACCATGTGTCATTTTACAAACTTACATTTAGGGTGTAAAATAAAATATGTACAACAGCAAAACGTTTCCCAGCACACTCACCAGCCAGCATGCAAAAAATCCTGTCTAACCGCTAAGGATAAAAGCAGAGGTTTGGATACACGTCTTCTGCAGAAAATGTGAAAGCCGCACAGCCGCGCCAAGACACCTGGATCGCGGGCTGGCGTACATTTTTTTATTTTTGCGCAGCACTGTGTGGCTCCACCCACACCGCTACATCATCCATTCACAGATCCTTTGACCGCCCCTGTGAATGAAGTCCCATCAGCACTGCAGCAGAGGAACTTGTAGTTCTGTATAAGGTACAAGTGCAGTGACATCACCACATTTGTAGTCCATTTATTCTTCCTTCTATCCATGTACCGGAATGTCCCTAGTGAGGTATATCCCTTACATTGGTGGTCAGAGGGAAGAATACTCCTTACATTGGTGGTCAGAGGGAGGAATACTTCTTACATTAGTGGGCAGAGGGACGGAAGAATACCCCTTACATTGGTGGGCAGAGGGAAGAATACCCCTTACATTGGTGGCCAGAGGGAAGAATGCTCCTTACATTGGTGGTCAGAGGGAAGAATACTCCTTACATTGCTGGTCAGAGGGAAGAATACTCCTTACTTTGGTGGGCAGAGGGAAGAATACTCCTTACATTGGTGGTCAAAGGGAAGAATGTCCCTTACATTGGTGGTCAGAGGGAAGAATACTCCTTACAATGGTGGGCAGAGGGAAGAATACTCCTTACATTGGTGGTCAGGGGGAAGAATACTCCTTACATTGGTGGGCAGGGGGAAGAATACTCCTTACATTGGTGGGCAGAGGAAAGAATGCTCCTTACATTGGTGGGCAGGGGGAAGAATGCTCCTTACATTGGTGGTCAGAGGGAAGAATACTCCTTACTTTGGTGGGCAGAGGGAAGAATACTCCTTACTTTGGTGGGCAGAGGGAAGAATACTCCTTACTTTGGTGGGCAGAGGGAAGAATACTCCTTACTTTGGTGGGCAGAGGGAAGAATACTCCTTACTTTGGTGGGCAGAGGGAAGAATACTCCTTACTTTGGTGGGCAGAGGGAAGAATACTCCTTACTTTGGTGGGCAGAGGGAAGAATACTCCTTACTTTGGTGGGCAGAGGGAAGAATACTCCTTACTTTGGTGGGCAGAGGGAAGAATACTCCTTACATTGCTGGTCAGAGGGAAGAATACTCCTTATATTGGTGGTCAGAGGGAAGAATGCTCCTTACAATGGTGGTCAGAGGGAAGAATACACCTTACATTGGTGGTCAAAAGGAAGAATACTCCTTACATTGGTGGCCAGAGGGAAGAATGCTCCTTACATTGGTGGTCAGAGGGAAGAATGCTCCTTACATTGGTGGTTAGAGGGAAGTATACCCCTTACATTGGTGGGCAGAAGGAGGGAAGGATACTCCTTACATTGGTGGTCAGAGGGAAGTATACACCTTACATTGGTGGGCAGAAGGAGGGAAGAATGGTCCTTACATTGGTGGTCAGAGGGAAGAATGGTCCTTACATTGGTGGTCAGAGGCAAGAATGTTCCTTACATTGGTGGTCAGAGGGAAGAATGCCCCTTACATTGGTGGGCAGAATGTTCCTCTTATATTTGTGGTCACAATACCACCCTGACCGATAGCTATAACCCTAATTGGTGTCATGTTGCTGGCTCTGCCAAGTATTATGGGACACATCATTTCCAGGCTCCACCATCAGGTAGGAGGTCAATCAGCCACGTCTCAGGGCAAAGGCGGCTCTCTAATTAGGAGAGTTAGGTGGTCGCCAAAGGCCTCGCGCTCACGAGGGCCTCGCGGCTGCCTAGCTCGCCTGTGCAGCATCACCACACCCGACAGCAGGCAGATCTAGGAAGGGGAGGGGGGAAAGGGGGGTGCGCGAAGGCTGCCGGCGCTCCATTCTCCTTCCCGAGGAACTTGCTGCTCCCTTCCAATGCCCAGGGATGGACTGACCCGAGGACCGGCGGCCTCCTGCAGGCGGAACTACGAGGAGTCCTGGCATTCCGCCACTTGCTTCTTCTTTCTCTGAAGAGAGAGCACGCCGGGGGATGGCGTGGACAGGTAGAGGCCCCCGCAGAATTGGAGGGCATGGAGGAACTAATACCGGAGGGTGAAGAAAGTCTGGTGGAGTGTCACACTGGACCAGGAGCTCAGGTTAGTGAAGCACCCCTGTGTTAACATAGAGTGCATGCTGAAAAAACAAACATATTCTTTCTTTCAAATACATAAATCATGTTATTGTCTACGGCTGCTAAAGATTTTCTATGTACAAAATCCAGCTGCCCAATATTCGTGAGCCCCATACTGTGCATTCCATAATTCTGATCTCTGCGTTCCTTCTGCGCTCTGTGCGTTCCTAATTCTGACTTCTGCACTCTGTGCGTTCCTTACTTCTGACCTCTGTGCGTTCCTTACTTCTGACCTCTGTGCATTCCTTAATTGTGACCTCTGTGTGTTCATTGTTTCTGACCTCTGCGCTTTGTGCATTCCTTAATTCTGCGCTCTATGTGTTTCTTAATTCTGACCTCTGCACTTTGTGCGTTCCTTACTTCTGACCTCTGCACTCGGTGCATTCCTTCTTACCTCTGCGCGTTCGTTCCTTCAGCGCTCTGTACGTTCCTTCTGAGATCTGTGCGTTCATTCTAGGCTCTGTGCGTTCCCTAATTTCTGACCTCTGCGCTCTGTACGTTCCCTAATTCTGACCTCTGTACGTTCCCTAATTCTGACCTCTGTAGTTCCCTAATTCTGACCTCTGCGCTCTGTGCGTTCCCTTATTCTGACCTCTTCGCGTTCCCTAATTTGCACTCTGTGCATTCCCTAATTCTGACCTCTGCGCTGTGTGCGTTCCTTAATTCTGACCTCTGTGCGTTTCTTCTGCACTGTGTGCATTCCCTACTTCTGGCCCCTTGCGTTCCTTCAAACCTCTGCGCTCTGTGCGTTACTTATTGCTGACCTCTGCAATCTGCGTTTCTTCTGCACTGTGTGCATTCCCTACTTCTGGCCTCTGTGCGTTCCTTCAAACCTCTGCGCTCTGTGCGTTACTTATTGCTTACCTCTGCAATCTGCACTCTGTGTGTTACGCACTTGTGACCTCTGCATTCTGTGTATTACTTCCTTAGGGTCAGGGATTTGTGTATAGTTATTTGTAAAATTAGATAAGAGACAGAAATAAAATTCTAGCTCTAGGAGCTGTAAATTCCTGGCTGCTGGGAATAAAAACACTTGCCTTAAACTGTGCAATGTATACAGTTCATTTTTAATTATTGTTTGCATTTTCTTTCATTATGGGTGTAGGTCGGAGGCCTCACGTTTGAGTTTCACCCTAGGGCCTCACAAACTGTCTAGACCCGCCTCAGGGGACCTGTAGCACCCTCTATAGGTTGAGAATGGCGGCTCAGTGGCGTTCTTCTTTCTCAATTCTACAAAATCGATAGAAAGTGATGAGATCCGCCGTGGAAATGATTTATGCATTCGGTCGCAGTGTTAAACCTTGAATATAACAGTGTGGTCAGTGCACCAGCTCACACCTCCCGGATACACACGGTGACAACCAACACATGGGCACGTCATGCCTCTTCCGTCACACAATGTGCGCATGCGCGGATGTAGCATGCCGGGAGGGGGCGGTACTGAGTCGGCACTGCCTTTAAATTAGCGCGTCATTCAGCAGACGGGGCCGAGTTGTGATCGGGCGGAGAAGCGGCGTGTTAAGGTGAGGCCGATGTGTGTATAGGAGGCACAGGGTCGGCGTGATCTCTGCCCGGGGAGGGGGAAGTATACTACAGCGCTCACCCTACACCCGCACGGAGACTTGTTAGACCTGTGGCCCGAGTCTGGGTTGTTCCGGACCTCCCTGTCCCCCCACGTGGTCTGTCCGGGCTCTATGTGTGCCTGAGATCGGTCGGCGTGGCTGCTGTTCAGCCTGACACGTTTCCCTATGTAAAGAGCGGCCTTACCAGAGGAAACCTCCGCTCCGGGCAGTATAGGGATGTCCGTACACGGCTGGGACCGCTCGTCTGGCTGTGCTTCTTGCTGCTCTGATAATGAAATGGAACAAACCTAAAGCTAAACTCCCGGCAAAGCAGCGAGGTCCAGATCACATCTGTGTTATAGAAAGGAATATTCCACTCCACCCTTCCCAATAAAAAATATATAGCACAAATAAAATGTGCATGTTAGGGCTGCAGCTAACTCATTTTCATAATCGATTATTTGGCCGATTGTGTTTTTTTTGTGTGTAGATATAATCAGATTAAAAAAAATTAAATGCTGTCTTTATTTAAAATAAAATGCATAAATGGATTTTTGCAAAGAAGGTTTACTAAAGAAACAAATGACATGCACATTTTTTTTTTGCTATTGCACTGCACTGGAATGCATGATTTTGCAGTACTGCGGGTTTCATTGCACTGCGGACAGGTTTGGGGTGCCATTGAAATGAATGGCAATGCACCTCCCGCAGCAAAATTTGCCAGGCCCAAAACCAAAAAATTACTAATTTTTATCTTTCACATTTAATGTACTATTTTTGACCTTTTCTTCTTTTTTTTTTTTTTTTACTTTACTGTTGGGTGGGCTTTGGGGACATATCGGGCATCTAAACAGACCCCTGATATTTCCCTTTTGAAAAAAAGATTAAGGACACAGTCCTCAATCTCTCTTTTTCTGGAGGCACTCAGTACATAGGATTCCTGTTCATTCACTTCCCCTCAACCCAGTCATGAATGGACAGGAAGGTCTCTGTGCTGAGCTGCTTCCTCTTCATTTATGAAGTGAGCAGATAGTATGTCCCCATTCATAAATCTACAGGAAGTGATGAGTACTTCCTGTTCATTCATAACTGGGGACATAGTAATCACTATGTCCTTGGTTGTTTACAAACACCAAGTTATCAGTATTGATCACTCTGTTTGCTCTTCACAGAATAGAGTAAATCAACATATTTATCAATACTCTGCACTCTCCATCCTGAGCCTCTCAAGTAGGTGTGATTTAGGGATTCTTACAGCAGGAACTTGCAATCTCTTGCAGCAGGAATCCCTAAAAGTAGCAGTTTTTAAGCAGCAGGTGCCACCCATTCAAGTAAATCTGGTGACAGCCGCTGCATTTGAAAGCGGCAGAACACTGGCACACTGCATGTAATCCCATGTGATTCGATTACATGTGTTTAGGAAACACTCTCTGGACTCTTTGATCGCTGTGCCCAGGGATAGCGATCTCTTCCTAACCATGTAATTGTATCACATATGAACACATGCAGTTTGCCAGCGTTCTGCCACTTTCATATGCGGCTTCTGTCAACCGAACGTTAACTTGAACGGGTGACAGCGGCCTCTTGTAAACAGCCGATTAGGAATTCCTCCTGCAGGAGATCACAAGTTACTGCAGCAGGAATTCCAGATTAGACTTGGTAGGGGTGATTGCGGGCTTAAAATGATTGACTGCAATGTTTAGGGAAGCTTCAAATGAAACTAGGGCTATAGGGACAAGTCAAATAAGAGTCGCATTAGCCCATCTGGTAAAACGCTGAGTCTTAGCGGATGAGCTAGTGCGCTGTGACGGCGCCACTAATGTGCATTATCACACTGCCGGATCTGTCACTGTTTACATTTTTTTCCTATGTGAATTGTGTACACTCCATTCAGGTCTCCACACTACGGCATGCTGTGATGAGATGCAGCATGTTTGCATTTTATTGCAGCGCACTGCCCATTACACCCACGCTGTGAATAGGACTCAAAACAATTGCAGGTCACTGCTGTATGTTTGAATGGCCAGTAGCATGCCTGCCGGCCAGCATTGGAGCTTTACAGACTTTGTATTCTACTTAAATATAAAGCTTTGCAAAAGAAACGCCCAACTAAGGCCCCTTTCATACCAGCGGTCTGATCAGGAGCTGTTTGATTTTAGGCGGATCTGATCGGAAGCCCAGTGTTAGTCTATAGGCAGCTGGACACGCTGTCATCTGATTACCCCCTGACTCTGTCCAGGTCTGGAAAACCAAATGGAACAAAGTTATGATTTGGCAAACTTGATTGTAGGGCTGCAACAACTAATTGATTATGGGAATAGTTGACAACTATTCTCATTATAGAGAGATTTTGTTTAATGCAGCCAATCGATTCCCTGAAAAAAATAATCGGGAGACTAATCTATTATGAAAAGAATCGTTAGCTGCAAGCCCTACTTGATTGTGACAGATTGGGGTGTAATCTGATGTAAACGCATGCCCACATACATCTGACTCCGCATAGACCTAAACTGGGTTTGGTAAGTTCAGCTCAATGGAGTATAAAAATGGGACGGACACATGTCACAACCGTGACGTTCATTCCATACGACTCTGATCAGCGGGGGATCCATGTACAAATCTCCTACTGACCGGAATTGACCACCTGTGTGAAAGGGATCTTGGTTTCCACTCTTATCTGCTCTATGAAAAAACAAATATTCCCGGGGATCATTTTAATACAACGAACAGTAAATCACAATTTATCTTCTGCTGTTGGTATAATAGATAAAATCCGTCTGTCACTTCACTATTATCAACAGGGGTGTAGAATTCCTATCGCCCGGCACATGCAGTTTCGGGCGCCAGGCGAGTAGTTTTTATGTACATTTAGCCCGGTTCCGGACAAGTAGACCTGAATGTACATTGTGGAGCCGCCGCTCGTGTACTGCAAGTGGTCTGATCAGACCACTTGTATTAATTTGAGCAGCGGTGATCGTTTCTGCCCGCACACCCCGCCGTAGTTTTCGGGGTCACACGCTCTCCTGGGTGACCCCGAAAACTACGGCACAACGGCTCAGCCATAGAGCCTGTAGAGCTAACGAAGAACATCTGCTCTATGGGCTCTCTGTGTGTTCTCTGAGACCGTGGCGCTGTAATCACAGCGCCACCTGTCTCGGCTGTTAGGAACTACACGGAACAGCTGTTCTGTGTTGGAGGGCAGGTTCCATAAAGAGAACCTGTCACCTCCAAACTATCACATAAGGAATTTTAATCCCCTATGCGATAGGAAGAACATAAGTTAATTTACCCAGGTAATATGGAAAAAAATATAAAATTACCCGATTAAATCTGGCTCCGTCTCTCCCAAACCGCCACCCCCCTGGCTATACTTGCCTTTTGGCGAACAATCCCTCCCCTCTGCCAGTATGGGTGTACTATCTGTCCACCGTACTGCTGTCCAGCACAGTCCTCCCCTATGCATTTAGAGTTTCGCTCGCAAATTGCAAGCACGTGGTCAGATGACTGCGCTGACAAGTGAGAAGCGCTATTTAGCACAGTCAAATATATTTTGATTAGGGGTACACCGATACTAGTATCAGTGCCGATACCGAGTATTTGGGCGAGTACTCGTACTCACCCAAATGCTCCGATACCTTCCCCGATATTGGAACTTACGGCCAGATGAAAATTTCCTCTGACTGGCAGTGCCGTAGGGGAACAGGAAGCCGTGTGGCAAGTAATGACCCGCCTCTTGGTTTTCTGATTGGCCAGGAAGCCGACTTTCCAGCCAATCCCCATCGAGCCAGTTTCCCGGTCAATCAGGTCATTACTCGCCACCCGGCTTCCTGATTGACCGGGAAGCAGGTTTCCCGGCCAATCACAATCAAGCAGGTCAAACAACATGGAGCCGGCTTCCGTGGCAATCAGGAACCTGGGCGGGGTGTCATTTCCCGCTGCCCAGCTTCCCGATTACCAGGGAAGCCTGCTCCATGCCAGCGGAAGCACCGGTATTAGTATTCGGTGTCTGCGAGATCCGAAAGCAAAAAATCGGTACTTGTACTCGATACTGCAAAACCGGTATTGATGCATCCCTAGTTTTGATTAAAACTATTTTTTTATTGGGACAAGTAGATTGTCATGAAGTATAAGTAGATTTGGCCCCCACTTTAGCCCTTGGACAAGTAGTTTTTTTTTAAAATTTCCACACCCCTGATCAAGATGACTGGAGCGCTTTGTGCCAATCTGAACGCTTGTTTCGTGGTATTTTTGTGGCCTATTATACGGATATTAATCTGCATGACGTGACATTGTTTGTACTTTTTCCTTGGTCATCACAATGAGTGATTCCGCCTCTTATAACAACTGCCAGGGAGCTGATGGCTGGACTATACAAACCTCAAGCCTGTGCATTTGTGTCTGTTTACTTGGCAGTATTGTAGTGCTGGATGGTTTATACAGATCTGTTTATTTCATGTTTTTAGGCTTTGAAATGGCAGAGAATGGTGATAAAGAACAAGTGTCAGACCTGGACACAAAAATCAGCCAGCAGATCGAGGTAAGCTACATGTCGGGTAATGGAGGAAAAAGAAACTTATAATGCAGTTGTAGCCTCAAAGTAAAAACTTTAGTAAATAGTTTTTTTTTTAGAGGAGAGTATTTGTGGTTTCAGTGCACTGGACTGCACTGTGCGGGTCACTGGTGTGGTGACTGTCCGCTGAGGGCACGGTCATTTATGTAACGTGGGGGAGGGGGCTACATTTTTTAGGGTCACCCTGCCAAGTGATGTGCAGCCTGGGACAATGCAACAATGGGTGTCTGCACCCAAGGTCTATGTACAGACTTGCCTTTTTGATGGGGCGGGGGAACAAGAAATCTCCTGCATCCTGAAATCAAAAGGCTCGGTTCACACCTAGGATTTGCATAAATGCTAGTTAATGGCACCCCAAACACAGCTAGGAGTATGCATGTTCCTCCATGGCAGAATGCATATTGCAGGTTTTGCTACATGTACAATTTTCTACTATTTGTCACACATATAGGAACCCACTGAAATCAATGGGGACACGCGGAGAACAAGCGTGCGCCCTACGTCTAGGTGTGAACAGAGCCAAAATCCCCTGTTCACACCTAGGTGTTCCGTGAACGTGTGCCAAACTGGGGGGGGTGCACACTTTGCATGGTCACAGAACACGTCAAAAACATGCAACACACTTGAGGTGCCATTAATAGTTCACACCCCAAATGCAGCTGGGCAAATGTGTTTTTTTTTTTTTGTTTTTTTTTTGTTTTTTTTTGTTTGCCCTCATTAACACATGTGGGGAAAAAACACGTGGCATCTGTAGCAGAATTTCCTATATTGGCTACTTTCCTGCATTTGTCACGCATGAAGTAACCTATTCAAATCAATGGACAACCTATAACTGCACAAATGAGCATGGAGCATTACGCTTACTAAAGTGATGATTTGATATTTATGATGTCGTATTCCTTCGTGCGTTTGAACACAAACCTCCATAGACCTATATACTTTTTTTGTCCCCCCCCCAGCTGCTTCGTTATACCAATGGGGGTTGCTGGGGTTGGGTCTCACACAGAGCTGGTTGGCCCTGTCGCATGGGTGAGTTGAGCCCTCTTCTGTACTCAGAAGTTAGGGGTATTTCCTTCAGGTCCTGGAACTGAACACAAGTGAGAATATCCTGCTGGGGTGGCAGACATCCCAACCTGCAAAACCTTATTTCAGGGAGGTGCCCTTTCTGTTTTTTGGGGTTTTTTTTACAGCGGCCGTTGTCAGAATATAAAAGAAATAACACACACACACTATACCAATAATACAATATATATTTATTTCTATATACATCAGATTTGTAAATTGATGTTCACGTATCTGTCAGTGTAAAGGTCACAATTTATTAGACAGCCCGAGACCTTTTTAAAAAAATGCTGAGGAGTAAAGTCCCTGATACACAGTTGACTAGTTGCTATGGGCAGCAAATGAAATAAATGTTCTCTATAACTAGACAACCAGGACATATAATTGATAATATATTATCCACAAAGGGTTAACAGCACGCTCTCAACCCTGCAGCAGTAGATCTCAGTGCCTGTACCTGCCCTTAATTGTAGTCTATGTCCGCCCTCTCTGTGCAGCAAGTAGCTTCTTCCTTCTGAGAGCCAAGCCTCGTTCTGAAGCTACTCTAGAGATCACATGACCTTCCAGGAGGCAAGCCTCACTCTGAAACTTTACCCAGTGATATCTTACCGGAAAGGTTTACTCAGAATAAACATTTCAGGGAGAAAATGCCTCTCTCGCAGACATCAGGGAGCTGCTGTCCAAAAGAGGGAGACTCCCTGAACATCAGGGAGACTTGAGATCCCTGGGGTGGGGTGTAAAGTTTTGATTATCTTCATATACTTGTATCTGAACACTATTTCTGTATCTATTCACAGTACTACTTTGGTGACCATAACCTTCCACGAGACAAATTCTTAAAGGAACAGATCACCCTTGATGATGGCTGGGTTCCCCTGGAAACCATGATAAAGTTCAACAGGTAAATATTATCTAGTGCTGTCTCTGTTGGTGTGAGTTTGTAGTTTGCGATGACTCATTTAGTTTTTATTTTTAAATATCTTTTTAGGTTAAACAAATTGACCAAAGACTTTGGAATCATTTTGGCAGCACTTAAAAAATCCAACACAAGCCTACTGGAAATCGATGAAGAAAAATGTAAAATTAGAAGATCCCCCAGCAAACCTTTGCCAGAGGTCACAGAAGAGTACAAAAATTCCATCAAGAATAGATCAGTCTATATTGTAAGTAGGCAAGAGCCATAATCTCAAAGTAAAAGCAAAACAAAGTGCACCTTTCTATGTCATTGCAAACAGTACAAATGAATGTATCTTTTCCACTTTGCATGTAGATTTGTAAACCATACACTGTAAAATGCCAAGTGGAGGAAAGTATAAACCTGCATATTGGCACTAACCCTCTCAGATGTAGTTCTGCTGACCATTGGTATTTTGGTATCCCAGAAGCTGCATCTTGAGTCAAACTTTGCTTCTTGTTGATAGACTGTCTATAATGTTTGGGTTATACTGCTGCCTACAGGTTGCACATTATGTCTATGGGGTAAACTTGATTGACTTGTGTCTATGTAGACACTGGCAAATGTTCTCAAAGTTCTACCAGACAAATCTTTTTGCATCATCTGATGGCAGTTTTGGGTGTAAGGTCCTTCAGGTGGTTGGTGCTTTGTTGTCCACCCCTCAGTTGGACATCCCGAAGGTTAAAGGAGAACTATAAGGTGAGTGAAAATCGCTCATCCTCATAGTTCAAGCCAACGTGTGACAATGAAACTGTCACACGTCGGCTCAATTGATCGGGAAGTGAGCGAACACATACCGTCGCCCGCTCACGTCTCGATCTCCCTGCAGAGAGCGGTGACTGTCAGTCATGGCTCCCTGCAGGGATTCCCCCCCCTCCCCGATCCTCCCGCGCTGAGTGGAGACACGGACGGGGAGGGGGCGGGTACCGCTGGCTCGGTCTCTAGATAGGCAGAGCCCGCTGTCATTCACGCTGTTGTGTTGCTCTCGTCCGTATTGTCAAGATCCGGCTGCGGCGGTCTCCTTATACCGCGAGCTGTAGCTCGCTACATACTGAGCTTTGGGTCACGGGAGGAGGTTAGTATATGTCCTCCCGTGACCCTTAAGGGAACTATAAGGAAAAACACTGACCCCATAGTTCTCGTGTCTTTCAATGGACAATGAGTAGGATTTTTGTATTCCTGGTAAAAATAATTTTCCATTGAGGGACACGACTCCCATTACTGCTTATAATGCTCAGTACTGCTTTACTTTACAAAACAAGCACTTAACTCTTGCAGTGAGAGGGTAGCCCCACTGCAAGGGTTACTAATTTCCCTGGAGTTCTGCTTCAACTATATTCCTCCAGTAGGTTTGTGCTAGGAGGGACTGTGGGGGGTGATGAGTCTTACATGTTTCAAATTTTGTTAGGCTGGGTTCACACCAAGGCGTACGGAATATGCGCGTTTCGTGCCGCGCGGTGTTACCGTGATTTGCATTAAAAAAAGCGCGTTTCCGAGGGCTACCTGGCTGCATCCCAATGGATACACGCGGCAAATATGCACCAAAGAAGCTCGTGTACTTCTTTGGGCGTAGGGTGTTTTGCAGCGTGTTCCTACGTGCTGTAAAATGCCCAGGTGGGAACCATGCCCATAGGCAATCATTGGTTTTCACATGTTGAGCGTTTTACAGAACGTAGGAACGTGCTGTAAAACTAGTGAAACCTAGTCTTTGCATGTCCTCTTTGGCTAGCAAGGCTTGGTAAGATTTGTGGTTCCAAACCATTGTAATCTGGTTACCTGCCGCTGCCCAGTAAGAGTCCAAGATGTACAGCAGCTATGAAGCATTGCTAATAAGGAAATGTTTTACTTTCACAGAAAGGCTTTCAGCTAGACACATCCCTGGATGATATAAAGAATTGGTTGGAAGGCAAGGGTCCCATTGAGAACATCCAGATGAGGCGAACACTTGAAAAGACATTCAAGGTACGGGTGTTCGTTTTTTTTTTTTTTCCTTTTCAAAACGCAGCTAAAAACTTTATGCATTTTATATATTTATCTGGGTCTCATTTCCCATCAATAGGGTTCAATCTTTATTGTATTTGAGACTGATGATGCTGCCAAGAAATTCTTGGAGAACAAGGACCTTAAATTCAAAGACTCTGATATGATCATATTATCTAAGTAAGTTTCTGAAATGTATGTAGTCTGGTTACACACGTCTTTCTGATATAGTGGTATGAATAGGAGTATTGGGTGATGGGTTAATTTTTGTTTTGTAAGTTTAGCTGCAATTCATGTAATCTATTCTGTAGGGAGGATTATTTTGCAAAGAAGAACGAGGAAAGGAAGCAGAAGCAGAACGACGCAAAGGCAAAATCCAAACAGTGAGTATGCAAAAGCGCTGCGCTTTAATGACATGGGTGAAACCAACATGGGCATATGGAAAAATGCTTTCCGAATTGTACTTCTATGTCAGATCATTCAACACTTGTATTTGTATTGTATCCGCTTATTGAATCGGGTCCGATCTCACTTCCTGACCGGTGATCGGGTGGAACAGGAAGTCCCAGTGGGAACACGTGCTATAAACCTTGCAGTCCTAACCATTCTCCACACCATTAAATTAGTAAAAAAAAACTTGGACCTGGGCTTTAAAATCTGTCCAGGCATCTGCTTTATATTTACCTGTGGTGGTAGCACGAGTTTGTGTCCGGAGATGAGCATCAAAGTATATGTACAGCCACAATTTGGGATAGTAGGGAAGGGTGTGTTTTTGCTGTCTTACAATGGGTGGATTTGCCTTCACTTGCTGTACCAGGAAATAAGGGGAGAATCCCCTCTTGGACAGCCAATGAACGCTTGTCCCTGCTTTTGTTTCTATGGTGGGCACTATGGGTGAAAACATCTCTATGTTGGCATCCTGTTAAAATTCCTGAATGGGGTCAGATCTGAGAAGTGCATGTCTCCCTTTGGGGGCCATTAAGCCCCTCTGTAGCCTAATACACCTGCAAGAACTTCTCTAAGAGATGAAAGAAGCTAGACTTCACTGGTAACTAAGATTGGTTGACCTATAAAAAAAAACATTCTGTTTTTCCCAAACCAGAATCCCCCCCCCTTTTTTTTTCTTTTCTTCTTGTCCACACTTGGCACTCACCCTCCAATAGCTTCAAGCAGATTGAATTTAGCAAAGTCTAAAAACGTACCTACATGATATAATCTGATTCTGTGGTAGTTGAGTCATGTGATTTGAAGCCACTGTTCTAAGGTCACATGACACGAACAGCTTTTAACATGGTGTTGAGTCAAACGTCTGCTCCAGCTTACCAAAGTTTGTAAAATCAGTTGATGTTAATCTGGAACCGGAGCTCTGTGCCATCTGCTTATTACAAAAGAAACCAACTTGGCAGTGCTTCTGTATTTCTTTTCAGCCAGTTTGTGTATTCATGTGTGTTATTTCTGGTACTATAATCAATGTGGTTGTCTCTAGGGAGAAGGCAGATGCTCAGAAACATGCAGAAGATGCTGAAATGGTAGGCATAACACAGTCCCCTAACTCCCCAGTGTTTGTGCTATAAATGTGTTGTATTTCTGTGTATTGGGCCCCATTCACACCTGTAAATGTAGGTGCGTTTACAGATTACTGCATCAGGAATTTGTGTTTTTCCTGCAGCAGGAATCCCTAATCTGTTGCCGTTGACGGCGGACTCGCATCCAGACGGCATTTTTTTTCTGCTCGCGCATGGGCAGAAAAAGCCTGTTCAATGTAAAGAGCCGTAACCGGCTGTTTCACATACACACGATCGGCGGCTCTATAGACTACCAATTGCGAATGTGCTGGCTGCGTGAAGCTGATGAAGCAAATCTGTGCTTTCATCAGCTTCTTTTGGGGTCCCCAGGTGACAGGGGTCTTGGAGATCCCTAATGTCTCCATAAAGAGGACCTGTCAGTGTGCCTTTGCTATTATATAGGGGGATTGTTATCCCCCTATGTAATAGCAATAACAATAAGTGTAAAAAAAAAAAACAGAGTAAAAAATAACCCCCCCCACATATAAACGTAAATATGCGTTCGTGGCGCCAGCATGCGAAAATGACAATTGCGCTACACATGTTACATAACGTCGCGAACGCTGGAGTGAGCAATAAGTTTAGGGCCATCAATCACTGATAACACTAAACTGATGAGCGGTAAAAGCTTTTAAAGCGTCGCCTATGGCCAATTTTGGGTATTGTAGTTTTTTTAAGGTTTCGCGCGCACAATTTTAAAGGTTGACATGTTTGGTGTCTTTTTACCCGACGTGACCCCGTCTTTTATATTTTACCAAAAAATTGGGTGTTTTATCATTTTAATATAGGGGAAACTTTAAAAAGAAAATCGGTACTTTTCCCTTAACATAGTAAAGCATAAAACCCCCCGTGGTGATTAAATACCACCAAAAGAAAGCTCTATCTGTCCCCAAAAAATAGTATAAAATTTTCAGTGCAGCGTTGCATGACGGGAAAAAAAGTACTGCAGCGCTGAACACTGAAATGGCCTGGATGGGAAGGGTGTTTAACCACTTGAAGGCCATAGTGTTTCACCCCCTTCCTGGCCAGGCCATTTTTCAGTATTCAGCGCTGCGGTACTTTGACTGATGTTTATTCCGTCATGCAACGCTTTACTGAAACGATTTTCATACCATTTTTTTGGGGACAGATAGAGCTTTCTTTTGGTGGCTTTTATTCACCACTGGGGTTTTTATTTTTTACTATATAACAAAAAAAGTACCCTAAATTTTGAAAAAAACATGTTTCCCTATAAAATGTTATGAAACATTTTTTTTTCACCCCAATTTTTTGGTAAAATATAAAAGTCGGGGTCACGTCGGGTAAATAGACACTAAACATGTCAACCTTTAAAATTGCGCGTGCCCGCAAAATCGCAGAAAACGACCGCAGCCAAAATTGGCCATAGGCGACGCTTTAAACGTTTTTACCGCTCATCAGTTTAGTGTCATCAGTGATTGATGGCCCTAGAATTATTGTTCTCACTGCGACGTTTGCGGCGATATGTAACATGTGCTGCATAATGGGCGCAATCGTCGGTTTCGTACATAGGAGCACCCGACGCATGTTTGCGTGTGTATCTGGGGGGCGGGGGACTTTAAAAAAAATGTTTTATTTTTTTTAGCTTTATTTTTTTTAAGCTTTATTTTAATGCTGTAATTTTTTTTAGATCGGGCGTCTCTAGAGACGCCTGACCGCTTCTATGTAAACAGCCATCGCTGGCTGTTTACATGCTGACTGTTTTCCCTCTTGTGTGCGGCGCTCAGCGCGCACACGAGAGGGGGGAGGGGCAGGACGTCTTTAGACGCCCTCCCGCTCTGAGCAGACGTCCATCTGGCCGTTCACAAACGGCCATGGACGTAAGGTGGTTAACACTGCTGACTTGAAGTGGTTAAAGTCAATGGAGGCTGTTCACACCTCGCGTTGCCTCACACGGGTGAAATCACATGTTGCCCACAAAGATGCAGGCGCTATTTTCAGGCAGATGCCACGTGGTTTTGATCCCATAGACTGCTCTATGCATTAAAAAATGCACGGTTTTCAAAAAATAAAAGCTCTACAAACATGCAAAAACAGCTTAATCGCCTAGGTGTGAACCAGGCCTACCAAGTGACAACTGTCACCTGTTCAAGTTAATCAGGTGACAGCTGCTGCATGTAAACTCCTGCACACCAGGTGTAATCATGTGGTTAGCAATCTATCCCTGGACACATCAATCATGCATCCAGGGAGCGTGATTGTTGACGTATGAAATTTGGCAAGTAAACATCCCCCGCCGAGTGAATTGAGTTTGAAACCCTTGCAGGGGTAGCCAACTCCGGCCCTCCAGCTGTGGTGGAACTACAAATCACATGAGGCATTGAAAAGATAGCCACAGACATGACTCCCGGAGAGATGCATCACGGGATTTGTAGTTTCACCACAGCTGGAGTTTGGTAACCCCCGCTCTAGAGCAGGGCTCAAAATTTCCACTCCCCTGCTCTCATTTGGCAAGTGGAAATGCAGTGCAGGCGAGTGGAAATTCCTGTCAGACTTGCGGTCGCAGACCGCGTACCTGTCTCGTGGGAGCAGCTGCTCCTGCTGGTCTGTCTCCCTCCCATTCGGCCAGAGCTCTTCACTGAGCTTGGGGTCAAAAACAAAGTGATTAGTAAGGTCTGCAGACCTTACTAATCAATATAGATCACCAGGGATCTGCCTGCTCGCCTCCTCCCTGCAGAAAGACAAGCAGGTGAGGGGGCTTCATTGTATTTTACATTGTGCGGGCAGGGAACAAGGGGAGGGGATTATGTTGTGTGGGGGGGCAGGGAACAGGGGGGGTCTTATGTTGTACAGGGGGCGGAGCGT